CCTTCATGTGATCGTGTTACGAGTTTGTGGTGATTCATTATCCTCACACCCGTCTACACTAGTAAATAATTCAACCTTGAGTCAATCTTGTAGTCGGTTTGGTTGGTGTAGCTAAACAAGCCGATGGATCAAATTATATTAAAAAAATATTCTTAATTTTCATGCAGGAAAGTTAGATATATTATTGCTCATAATCCACGTCAAACCAATAAAGCCATGAATCAAATTATTATCACTGATCAATGAGCATCTTTAGTTCATCCTAGAAGATCTCTACCACAATAGCGTAAACTTCCTTCGTCTCTACATAATTACAACACTTTCCTTTTTTGGCATTTTCAAATTAATTGCAACACTTTCGTTTTTAGTAAACAAAAATAAATGCAATGTCTTTAATGCCCCTCATTAGCTTATACCTACCTTTTATATTTCTTCTCCCTCCCACGGATCTTAGTGCGTATAACGTGGGATAATCCCACGGTGAGCACCATGCTTCACGCCCAAAACGATGTAATTTTAATCAATTTTTAAAAAAATGCATGAACAGTACAAGCTTGTACAGTATATGTGTGTACAGTAACTGTTTTTTTTCTTTTCCTCCTAGTAGCATGAATGATGTAACTCGCGAAGCCCTTCGACCCGTCCTCATTCTAGGCCGTTCGTAAGTGAAAACCTGGACTGTTGGGCAAAAGCCGGGCGGCTTTCGTGAAAGCCGGGCGGTGTTCGTGGACTGCAGCTACGGGCAGCCTGTTTTTCTTGGCGGTTTCTGGCGATTTCGACTCCTATCGATTCACAAACTCTTCTAAGTTAATTACCACCACTATATATCAATATTCTACACTTTTAAAACGTGTAGAACTTCATGTTTACTCCACCATATGATTTCTTGAAAATCATACAATAATAAACTAGTTAAAAGAATAAACATGGAGTTCTTACCTTGAACTCAAGCTTTATCTCTTGGATCTTCTAGTTCCTTTCTTCCTCTGAGGTTTCTGTTTGTGAGAGTCCTTCTACTGATCTCTCCTCTCTTAATTTCGTCCGCAGGAGTAGGATGGGTAAGGGGAAGGTATGCCTTCTCAATCAATAGCAATTGATTGTGTAGATAGGCCATGGGGCATGTGTTTTTGTCTCAAGGAGACTTCTCACCCCCTCCTACGTACTACTCCCTCCCCCCATGTTCCCCTCCTCACTTATTTGAGGCAACAAGGGGTGTAGAATACCCTAAGTGGGTGTAGGAAGTTTCTCTCAAAGGTTCCCGCTATTTCTGGCAGGTTGGGTCAAAATAGCATCTGGGTTGTCCAAATATTTTCCTCAACCTTGGTTGGCATTTTATTGGGCTTCTATAATTATTATGATGACCCAACTAATTATTTAGTAGCCCATCCTCAGTATTATGGATCCGATAAATAATTTAATTAATCATTCATTAATTAAATAAATCATTCTTTTACACAAAATCATTCGCTAGAAAAATTCAAATACATACTGAATTTCAAATTCAAGTACATCCGGGTGCGGTGTCACAAGTTCACCCCCCTTAACGGGAATTTCGTCCCCGAAATTCACAATGGTTATTCAAATAGAAATGCATACTGTTCCTTCATCAAGGCTTCAGTCTCCCAAGTTTCTTCTTCAACTCGGTCACTCTTCCATATGATTTTAACCATTGGAACTTTCTTGCTTCTTAGCTTCTTTACTTGCCTATCAAGTATTCTTACCGGTTGCACGACGTAGTTCAAGTCTTCCCGTATTTCCACGGGTGGTTTCTCTAGTACATGAGATGGGTCCGGAATATACTTCTTAAGCATAGACACGTGGAATACATTATGTATTTTCTCCAATTCCGGAGTCAACTGTAATCGGTATGCTACGGCCCCAATTCTTTCAAGAATCACAAATGGCCCTATCTAGCGTGGGTTAAGTTTCCCTCGACTCTGAAATCGGATGATTCCTTTCCAAGGTGAAACCTTCAAAAATACCTCGTCTCCCACCTTAAACTCTAAGGCTCTTTGGCGCTTATCGGCATAGCTTTTCTGTCTATCCTGTGCCGCCTTAAGTCTTTCACGAATCATCTTTACCTTTTACTTGGTGATCTCCACCAATTTTGTGCTCTCAAGTTTGGCCATGCCAACCTCGTCCCAACACAAAGGTGTACGACATCTCCTCCCATACAATGCCTCGTATGGAGGCATGCCTATACTCGCCTGATAACTGTTGTTATAGGCAAACTCCACAAGTACCAAATGGTTGTCCCAACTCCCTTGGAACTCCAACGCACAAGCTCTCAGCATATCTTCTAATATCTGTACAATCCGCTCGGATTGCCCATCCGTTTGTGGATGAAAAGTTGTACTGAATTTCAGCTTTGTCCCCATAGATTCTTGGAACTTCGGCCAAAATCGTGATGTGAATCGCGGATCTCTATCGGATACAATGGTTATCGGAACCCCATGTAGCCTCACGATCTCATCCACATACAACTTGGCTAACCTCTCCAGTGCATAGGTGGTGTTGATAGGTAGGAAATGTGCACTCTTTGTGAGCCTATCAACCACAACCCATACGGCATCATAGTTCTTAACCGTCCGTGGCAGCCCAATCATGAAATCCATAGTCACGTGTTCCCACTTCCATTCCGGAATGGAAAGTGGTTGTAATAACCCAGCTGGATGCTGATGTTCTGCCTTAACTTGTTGACAAGTAAGACACCTACCGATGTACTCGGCTATTTCCCTCTTCATACCAGACCACCAGTAACTTTCCTTCAGATCACGGTACATTTTCGTGCCTCCCGGATGCATGGCATACGCCGATGAATGAGCCTCCTCTAAGATGGACTTTCGGAGCTCATCATCCGACGGTACGCACACTAGGTCACGAAATAATAAGAGACCATCATCTCTTTCCCTGAAATCTTCAACCGGTCCCGCTAGCACGCGTTCACGGACCGTCATAAGCTCTTCGTCAGTTTCTTGACCCTTCTTGATTTCATCAAGTAATGTGGGTCTCACCTTGAATCTTGCTAACAAGACACCATCGTTAGCTACCTTCAATTGGGCTCTCAATGCCCTCAAGCTAGTCAACAATGCCCCCGACGAACTCTTTCGGCTCAAGGCATCCACTACCACGTTGGCTTTACCAGGGTGGTATTCAATAACTAGATGGTAGTCTTTTATCAACTCCATCCATCGCCTCTGTCTCATGTTTAACTCTTTTTGAGTAAACACATATTTCAAGCTCTTGTGGTCAGTGTATATATGACACGTCTCCCCGTAGAGGTAATGTCTCCATATCTTCAGTGCAAACACCACAGCTCCCAACTCTAGATCATGAGTAGGATAGTTTACCTCATGCTTCTTCAATTGTCGTGAAGCATAAGCGATCACCCTCCCATTCTGCATCAATAGACATCCGAGCCCTTGGATGCTTGCATCACTATAGACATCGTACCCCATTCCCTGTTTGGGTAATGCAAGTACCGGTGCCTCGGTCAATCTCTTCTTTAATTCTAGGAATCCTTCCTCACATCGGTCATCCCATACGAACTTAGCCCCTTTTCGAGTGAGCTTTGTCAATGGTGATGCCAAAACTGAGAACTTCTCCACGAATTTTCGGTAGTAACCTGCCAATCCAAGGAAACTACGAATTTCCTTGACGTTCTTTGGCCTCTCCCATTCGGTAATGGCCTCAATCTTCTTGTTATCTACGGAAATCCCTGATCTCGAAACCAAATGCCCGAGAAAGCCAATTTCCCTTAGCCAAAATTCACATTTGGAAAACTTGGCATAGAGTTGCTTCTCCCGTAGTGTCTCAAGAACAAGTATCAAGTGCTCCTCATGCTCTTCTTCACTCTTTGAGTATATCAAGATGTCATCTATGAACACAATCACAAACCGGTCCAAGTATTTATGAAATACTCGGTTCATCAAGTCAATAAATGCCGCTGGGGCGTTTGTCAGCCCAATCGACATAACTAAGAACTCAAAATGACCATACCTCGTGCGGAAAACACTCTTCGGTATGTTGTCCTCCTTTATTTTCAGTTGGTGATATCCCGATCTCAAGTCAATCTTCGAAAACACCGTCGCTCCTCGGAGCTGATCAAACAAGTCATCAATCCTAGGGAAAGGATACCTATTCTTGATTGTGACCTTGTTCAGTTGACGGTAGTCGATGCACATTCGAAGTGTCCCATCTTTCTTTTTCACGAAAAGAACCGGGGCTCCCCATGGAGAGTGACTCGGCGTTATGAAACCGTTATCCAATAGCTCTTGCAATTGGGTTTTCAACTCATTAAGTTCAGCGGGTGCCATTCTGTATGACAGTATAGAGATTGGTTTGATGCCGGGTTCAACCTCGATCACGAACTGAATCTCCCTATCGGGTGGAAGTCCCGACAAGTCTTTTGGGAAGACATCCGAATACTTACACACTACTCGCATTTCATTGATGTCTGTCTCATCTTTGGATTTATCCACCACATATGCTAGATATGCGTGGCACCCCTTTCGCATCATATTCCTCGCTCTCACGCCGGATATGATACAACTGTTTGATTTGCCTCTATCTCCCTCAAAGCGCAAAGTCAATCCTTCACACTCTATCAAAAAGTTTGAAAATTTCAAAATAGGACTGTCATATTTTTATTTCCAAAACATGAGTAATTACTTCCAAGTTTGAAAAATACTGCCATGTTTAAAGTCTGATACTGCCAAAACATGACAGTAAATAGTCCTATTTTGAAAATAAAAACACGATAATCTTATTTTAAAATATACCAACATTTTTAGTCCTATTTTGAGTAATTTCTCTTATTTATATTCCATGGAACATGTAATGTACGAGTAATAAACTTTGAAAATGGAATGGGTATGTACAAGTGTACAACTAACCTGTCAAAGTGTGAGTGACATTTACTCCTACTGCCTTCTCAGCCTCTTCGGCGGAGTCTTCAACTATCCGCTCCATCGGTTTCATCGACAGTTCCTTCAGATCATCTAACACTTTCTATTTCTCTATCCCCTCTGTCTCTATCTCGCATCCGCGCATTCCGCAGGTATCGACGCTGCAATCTCAGATCCCGCATCCATTTCCATCTCCCAATTGATTTTTTTTTCAGTTTCACTGGCTTCCATGTGTATCTTGACGCTGAAAAATAATTGCTTAATTATGTTCAAATTGTGTTTTTCAGCGATTCGAAGAAATGGAATCTGCAGCTGTAACGAGCTTTTGCACCAAATCTATCTCATCCCAGTCGTCTTGTCCCGTACGTTTACTACATGAATACAAATACAATTCTCCATTCTGTCAATGCTTAATGGGTCGAGCTCTTTCTTTAGAGATATATATGTCATGGTTCTGTGTCACTTCTTTGGAGTCTCACAGGCCGTCCTAGCACTGGTCATGCGAGTGGATTTCGCGTTTGAAATGTTGAACTATGTGTAAAATTTCTGCACTGCTCAACCTGTTGTATATCGTATCAAAGTGCTCACTTTCTTCCAAGATGATTAAATTTTACTTTTATCGAATTTGTGTGTAAGCAGAGGCTCTCCATTCTCTGATGTGCTAAGGTTCTTGTTTTGAATACCACACCCATGAATCCAGAGGCGTATATAGAAATTTAGTTAGATTGAGTTGGAGTAAAGATTGATGGTAGCTAAATGTGAAAAAGGCCTTAAAGTTCAAATTTATGAAAGAATTGCATTGGGATTCAGTCAAGGGTAACTCACGGCTAGGTACACCTATGCGTGAACCTGAAAAGTGCCTGTGATTATCTTCAATATAATTTCATTATGCTTTCATTGGGTTTTCTTTTAACATGCTAGCTTATCCAAAACATGTTTGGTCTTTTTCTAATGATCATTTCAGTTAATGCACATTTCATGGTGTCTGGCTCATTCTCAAAAGTTTGAATGAAATCTTAAATTAGTGCAAAACTGTTACTCAATACGTCCCATAATGTATTCCCTTTTCTTCTTGCACATTTTTAGGCAGTGAAATTGTGTGCTTGAAACTTATTTAGAAGCGAAGAGTTATAACAGGCCAAACATTTCATTCCAATAAATTGAGAAAAATATTTTGAGACAGACTAAAAAGGAAAGTTTGGGAGCGAATGTGCCAACTATCGAGGGATTAAGCTTATGAGTCACACCATGAAACTTTGGGAGCGAGTGATTGAGCAAAGACTTCGAAGGACTGTGAAGATTTCAGAGAATCAATTCGGTTTTATGCCTGGTCGCTCAACAACTGAGGCTATTCACCTTCTTCGTCAACTTATGGAGAAGTATAGAGATGCTCATAAGGATCTGCATTTGGTGTTCATTGACTTAGAAAAGGCATATGATAGGGTACCTCGAGAAGTTCTTTGGTGGGCCTTAACTAGGAAAGGCATATCACGCAAGTATATCACCATCATCATGGATATGTATGAGGATTGTACTACAAGTGTTCGTACTAGTGTAGGGAGGACTGAAGAGTTCCCTATTACTATCGGAGTGCACCAAGGATCGGCCTTGAGTCCTTTCTTATTTGCCATAGTCATGGATGAACTTACGAAGTCAATTCAAGACGATATACCGTGGTGCATGATGTTTGCCGACGATATTGTATTGATTGATGAGACGCAATCAGGTCTTAAAGCAAAGTTGGAAGTATGACGACAAACATTGGAGAATAAGGGTTTCAAACTAAGTCGGAGCAAGACAGAGTACATGGAGTGCAAGTTTGGTGGAGGTAGAAGTAGTGGTAATAGCGGAATTACTCTGGATGGTAAGGAGATACCACTCAGCGATATGTTCCGTTACTTGGGCTCCATAATTCAAAAGGACGGTGAGTTAGATGGAGATGTATCCCATAGAATCAGAACATGGTGGATGAAGTGGAAGAGTGCGTCAGGATTTCTATGCGACCGAGGTATGCCGACTAGACTGAAGGGTAAATTTTATAAGACAACAATTAGGCCTGCATTACTGTATGGCGTAGAGTGTTGGGCGGTGAAACAATGTCACATTCAAAAGATGAGTGTGGCAGAGATGCGCATGCTGCGTTGGATGTGTGGGCATACTAGGAAGGACCGCATGAGGAATGAGACAATCAGACAAAGGGTGGGAGTAGCACCTATTGAAGACAAGATGCGGGAGTCGCGCCTACGGTGGTTTGGTCATGTGCGTAGAAGACCGAGTAATGCACCTGTTAGGCGAGTTGAGATGTGTGGAGAAGAGGCAGGGAAGAGAGGGAGAGGAAGACCCAAACAGACGTGGGTTAAGGGAGTTCGAAGTGATATGCTTCTTCTGGGGTTGGATGAGGGCATGACTTTGGAGAGAACTAAGTGGAGGGCGGGTATTCACGTGAAGGAGTGATCTTGATAATCTTTTTCCCTCATCTTTTTTTCCTAGTTTTTTTTATCCTTATATATATATATGCATTATTTGAAGCCTTTTTATTTTATCATTTTTATATATATTCATCTTTTTTATATTATCTTTTCATAATAGCTTATCTTTTTTTCTTTATTCCTTCTTTTCCTTTTGGTTGTGATATCATGTATCGATTCATGTTAGCCGACCCCAATATCTTTTGGGACTAAGGCTTGGATGTTGTTGTTGTTGTTGTTGTTGTAGACTAAAAAGGAAAGTGGGAATGACATTTAGACAGTACAATTGTTGATGGATTACTATATATTGTTGTTTTAGTCATGATATGAATCTGTTTTGTCAAATGCTTTTTCTGTGATAGGGCTTATTGTTTGGGAGAAAAAGTAGTATTGGCAGCTCTCAGTGTAGGTTTATGGTAGGAAAGAGGGTAAACTTTCCTCAACAGAAGGCTCAACAATATAGAGTTTTTCCAAAATCCAGTGCACATGGTGGAGCTCTTGGTGCAGTGTGTCAAGGTGATAAAATCTTGGTGGCAAACAGAGGGGAAATTGCAGTGCGTGTAATTCGTACTGCTCATGAGATGGGGATTCCTTGTGTTGCAGTTTATTCAACTATAGACAAAGATACCCTTCACGTGAAGCTTGCAGATGAGTCTGTATGCATAGGTGAAGCACCTAGCAATCAATCGTAAGTTTGTATGTCAATTCACTAAATTTTGTGTTTCTTGTGTTTGCTACTTTGATATGCTTCACTCATGCCTGTCATAAGTGTTCCATGATGATTATAAAGGGAAGACATTATCCTCTGCAAAGAATCTTCTTTTCTTAACATGATGTAATGCCAGTTATAATGTCAAGTAACATTAAGCTGCTATAGAACAAGCAGTTTTACAATTATACTCTACCTAGCTACAAAAAATGGAAAAAGAAAGGCCCACACATGTTGCATATGATTAGTGTTGTTGAAAACTTTAAAAAATAGTACTACCTCTGTCCCATTTTATGTGTCATACTTTGGTTTGGCACAATTATTAATAAAGTTGTCGAAAAAGTAAAAGTTGTGGTTGAGATTCGAGTATCAACAACAACATCCAAGCCTTATTCCCAAAAAGATTTTGGAGATCTGAGTATAATAAAGTGAAATGTTGTAAACCACATATTTCTTTCCAAAAAAGGAAATGTGATAGTCATTTTAGGACAACCCAAAAAGAAAAGTAAGGCATGTAAAATGGGACGGAGGGAGCAAGTCTTAAGATATAAGTAGTCCCTCCGCCCACTATTGTTGTCTCATCTTTCCTTTTTGACAGTCCTACTCAGTTTTTCCTATAACATATTTGGCCATATCTGTCATTCTAATTCATTCTTACACTATTAATACTTTCAAATTCAATACCAACTACATAGTTACTTTTTTCAGTAATCGTGTCACTTCTTCATGTCCTAATCTTAGTAGCATGGAGGTAGGATGCTTCATGGTTTATGACACTTGTACCTTACCAAAGTTTATAAGCTGTGCATTGGTCAAACTAGAGTTTTTTGGATGGAGGCAGTACCCTGTATGATAACAACTAGAAACTACGAAATAGTTGCATCCATTATTCCCAATGAGCTAACTAGACCTTTTAGGTCTGAGAAATAGTTGCATTGCAAGATAAGCTAATGAATGGCTAAAAAGCACACGAGACTTTGAGAGTTAGAGTAGTTTTTTTTTATTGAAATATGTAACTGCATTACTTTCTGCAACAAATAAATCAATACTTGATGACTTTCAAGTGAGAATAGTAACTGCATTAATTTCTTCTTTCAATTAAGAATATAAGACTAAGCTTAACTCATCTGCCAATTCAATCCATCTTGCATAATCTAGTTTTTTTTGTTTGAAAGTAATACTGGTCAAGCTATTAGATAACCAACACTCACACATGATGTGTTAAGCTCTTTTGTTATATGATTTTTTGTACTTGTTGAAATTCCGGTGAACCTGGAAGCTAATATATTGAGGCTAATGTATGTGCTTATTCATCGTGGTATTTGTATCTCTCTGCTATCTTACAGGTACTTGTTGATGCACAATGTCTTAGCTGCCGCTACAAGCCGTAAATGCACTATGCTGCATCCAGGCTATGGTTTTCTTTCTGAGAATGCTGCTTTTGTTGATATATGCAAAGAACACGGAGTCAACTTCATTGGGCCAAATGTAAATTATTTGGGTTATGCCAAAATGCCATGCAATTGCCCATTATGTCATAACCCAACAGTCCCCAGAATTACAGGAAAAAGATATACAGGATAATGTTGCTAATCATCTTTTAGCCGAGATGTCATACAATACAGAGCTGATGTGCATTGCATTTTCTGAACACAGTGAAAATAATTAATGTAAGGTGGTTTAATTTTTTATTGTTCATATTTACAGCCAGATAGTATAAGAGTCATGGGTGATAAGTCAACTGCTAGAGATACAATGAAAAATGCGGGTGTCCCAACTGTACCAGGAAGTGATGGATTGTTACAGGTATTGTCCATTTGTTTTTTTGTTCACTAGCCTTTACATATACTATCGTGTTTTCTGTCTAGCTTTTTTCCCTATTGCCTTGAATAAACTTATATAATCATGACTTCAGAGCACTGAGGAAGCAGTCAAGCTTGCTGATGGGATTGGTTTTCCTGTAATGATTAAGGTAATCTACAATTATAAATCAAAGTGGTAAGCAATCAATTGGAGAGGGAATTGTGTTGGTCACATTCAATTAGTTGGTAAAGTATGGATTATTCTGAGCAATGTGAGTGTTGCTAAATTTGGAATAAGACGCATTTTGCGACAAACAAAATGCAGGGAAGGAGGAAGTATTTAACACATGAACTTCTTAAAGTTAACGCTTTAATGAATCAAACATGCCCTTAACCCAACTAAGTATTTATTTTTGTATAATTAAGAAGATAGTAACAACATTTACACTTCTCATCAAAGCAGTTCCATAACATGAATTTATTTGCATGGTTCAAATTTCTAATATTAGAATAGTTTGCAGTGGGCCATAACTAATTTAGATATGTCATCCTAAAACTGTAGAGAATAAATTTGAATGGCATAGATGTCATAACTGTTACTCATATCACTTTATGCTTTGAAGGCTACTGCTGGTGGTGGGCGTGGAATGAGGAAGTATTTAATATATTTTAATACTTAAGCCAACTAAGTATTTAATTTTGTATAATTCAGAACTCAGAAGACAGTAATAAACTCTGTCTAACAACATTTACACTTCTCATCGAAGCAGTTCCCATAACGTCATTTTACTTGCATGGCTGAAATTTCTAATAGGCATCATATTATAATACAACAACAACAACATCCAAGCCTTAATCCCAAAAGAATTTGGGGTTGGCTAACATGAATCAATCTATGATATCGATGCCAAACAGAGAAGACGGAAAGGAAAGGGAAGAAAAAAAGTAAGATAAAACGAATAAAATAAAGATAAATAAATATAAGATAACAATAACACAAGAATATAGAAAGATAAAAGATAAAAAATAAAAGAGCATAAAAAAGCTAGAAGATATTTCCATCATTTGCAATGGAGCCAAAGATTCATTATTTTTAGGCTTGGGATTATGATGGAATAAAGCAAAATGGCTCACTAAACTGTCTGCGCTTCTTTGTTATGGAGCAGCAGTCAGTCCATGCAATTTTGGACGCGATTTTCACTATGGGTCATTCGGAAACAGTCTCTCTGTGCTTTAGTACCGGGGTATGTGCTTTAGTACCGGGGTAATACTGTGTACACCCGACCCCCCCTTACCCCACCGTAGGTGGGAGCCTTTGCGGCACTGGGGTAAATGAAAATTAAAATGAAATGATAAAAAAGCTAGAAGATAAAAATGACACAAAAACATAAGAAAGATAAAAGAAAAAACAAAAGAACATAAAAAGCTAGAAGATAAGAGACATCATATTATAATATTTAAATAAATTCCTGAAGCTTCCAGGTCTTAACAGAAAGTGTGAGATGTACAGTCAACTAGAATAGTTTGCAGTGGACCATAAACTAATTTACTTATATCATCCTAAGTATGTAGAGAATAAATTTGAAAGGTATAGATGTCATAATTGTTACTCAAATGACTTTATTCTTTGAAGGCTACTGCTGGCGGTGGTGGGCGTGGAATGCGTCTTGCTAAAGAACGCGATGAGTTTGTTAAGTTTTTACAGGTGTGCTTATTTTATGCTATTGTTTGCATTCCTCATCTTCAAAATTCAAATGGCACATAATGTGGCCTTGAGCATTTTTAGCCTCTTTGCTATTGTTTGCATTCCTCATCTTTTTCAAATGGCACATATTATTGCTTTGAGCATCTTGGGAATTGGTATCTTGTACTCACCTCTAGACTAGATAATCTGAATATGAAATTTCTTGAGTCTCTGGTAAGTCATTGAATAAGATTTTTAGAATTTAATTGTGAAGGTATATATATCCTGGTGGAAGTATTTACTGTGTTAACCCCTAAAATGAACTGTTGCTTTGAGTGGTATTTTTCATATATCAGTGGTTCAACTTATTTACTACATTATCAATTATCATGATGATTTATGTGTTTTAGGACCTTTATTCACTTCCATGCTGGAGTTCCATGCTGCCAATTTCAGATTGATTGTTTACAGAGTTGTGTTAATTACTTTGATATTTTAGTTTATTTTTACAGCAAGCTAAAAGTGAGGCGGCAGCTGCATTTGGAAATGATGGTGTGTATCTGGAGAAGTACATTCAAAATCCTAGGCATATAGAATTCCAGGTTTTCTGTTCACCATTTTTAACTTCAGATATGTATGAAGTGTACTAATTGAATTTGGTAATATGACGTTGACTATTAATGTGTTTCTTGAATGGTTTTGATCAAATATGTATACACATTGACTATAGTGAGGAACATAGTCAATGGCTAGATATGGGCCATATGGCACGCGCCATATGCGCTATCGCCGTGAAAATGTGTTCATCGCCATAGCGCCATATGTGCTTTATGCGCCATTCGTATATGCGCCATTGCCATGCGCCATGAAAAATGCCTTTGAGCCATGGCAATCGCCATGCACCATGACTACTATGGTGAGGAATGATGATGATAATGATTGAGATCACTAGTCTGTTGTGTGAGACATTTATGAACTTACCGAGTTTATTTTATTTTATTTTATGAAAATGTACTTCCTGTGGGTATGAAAGTTAGTTATGAAGTTTTTTAGACAGATACAAGTTTTTTGTGACATCTAATGTTATTGAATGTGTTGTGAGCCCAATGTTTTTAGCATTTTTTTTTGCTGAAATTGCTTCAAGTGTTTTGCTTGAAGCCCCCATGAATCGTAAGATTCATGTAAAATATGTAGTCCCCATTACCTAAGCTCATAGGCAAAATATATGAGGTATATAATAATGAAAAAGCTCTTTAAATGCATTTATGCATTTATGTACCTATGGCATAGTAGTTCATAGGAGGACAAGGACAAGTAGACGACCATTGCAAATAGTATCCTACCCATCCCACTTCCATCAACAATCACGCACTGCGACGTGCTTTTGACAACCACTGCCACCATTAACAATCATGTCCAGCGTAGTGACTACAACAATCATTGTCCACCCCTTTCACAGGTGATTACCACATCTATTATAAACCACTGCCAACTTGGTGATGACTCATCAACAACAGTTGGTGATCACCACCGTCTACCACCATTGCCATTAGTAGTCACATCTTCGATTGATGTCACTCACCACCACCAACACTGTCGACCACCATTGCAACATTGCCACTGTTGGCTACCACAGTTCACCAGCCACCTCTAGTGACCGGTGATATTGGATTGTAAGATAGGTATTGACTACCATTTTTCCAAACTATAAAATAAAGAATGGAAAATTGAGGCAGTAAACTCAGAATTTTGTAGAGCAGAAGTAAGCTACTCTATTTCCTCCTAATGGTCTTTAATTTAAATCTGCGTCCTATGACCTTCAAAATTAAAGCTTTGATGTTTTTGTTCAGGTTTTGGCTGACAAGTATGGTAACGTAGTACACTTCGGGGAGCGTGATTGCAGCATTCAGGTAAACTTATTTCCCTGTATGGATGAAGCTAAGAGCCCGTTTGGTGACTCTGTTTATCATCTTATCAGGCTTATCAATCAACTTTTTAACCGAACACTTGGCTTTTGATTTCGCGCGCTGAACTGTGTAATAATAAGCAAAGTAAGGTTGAAGTTACTTTTTGGATGTATTGGCTGACGTTATTGTAGATGTTCATTTTAGCTATTTCTTTATATAAGTTTTCTTTATTTTATCAATACAATATATTTTACATATAATTTATTCATAAATAAGTAGAATCAACCAATACAACCACTTCAGTCAAAACTTCACAAATTGCAGCAGAATCAGCCAATTTAGCCGATTTCAGTGTTACCAAACGGGCTATAAATGTGTAAATTACTAATCAGAAAAGAATACTCAGGTTCACTTTGAGTGCATATTTTTTTGCCTTTTCAATCTTCATTATTTAGCTGACCCCAAACTCTTTTGGGATTAAGGATTGGATGTTGTTTTTGTTGTTCTAATCTTCATTATCAAGCCTCTTGGATTGCTTACTTTGGCATAACAAATGATGCTAACATACTTGTTACTCCGTTCCCACTTGCTTTTGGCACGAGATTTTAAAAAGTGAAACTATGCGGTTGAAATTTCTTTTGAAAAGGGTGAAAAATATCAACTACGCATTCTTTCCTTATGAGCAAGAAGTTTTGTTGGGACAAGCAAGTAAGTTTTTTGGACCAGAGGGAGTATTTACCTCCAAAACAAGCAAGTTTTGTTGGGACACATTCTTCTCAAATAGTTATATGACATACTTAGCCTTAATGGATTGGGTACTGGCTCTGGTTTTGCTTTGATTTGAGCTTAAAACCCCAACTACAGTTTCACTTTTGTCAAATACATTAGTGTGTGTCAGTTTGCCTGTTTATATTTGTTATATTATATACCATCTGCTGAATTACTAGGAGATATGCCTGGTACCTTATGCAGATCTTTTCATTCATGTTAACTTCCCAGTTCTCATGGATAGGGTTGGGGAAAGAATTAATATCCACTCATTTATGAAAGTTTGCTGTAAAATTTATTCCCTGGTATTGAATCCTTACCCCTCCCTCTGCAGAGAAGAAACCAAAAGTTGCTGGAAGAAGCACCTTCCCCTGCATTGACACCAGAGCTAAGGAAGGCTATGGGTGATGCAGCAGTTGCAGCAGCAGCATCCATAGGTTACGTAGGGGTTGGTACGGTCGAGTTCCTTCTGGATGAAAGAGGATCTTTTTACTTTATGGAGATGAATACTAGAATTCAGGTGAAGCTTGAAGCTCAGGGTCTATTTTACATGCTCCAGTGGGAATACTTTATATATTTCTGGTACATCTGTCGGGTTGGGGCATGGGGAGAATTGGAAAATATTTAACCAACATGCACTTGGGTGAACATAATAGGTAGAGCACCCTGTTACAGAAATGATTTCATCTGTCGATCTAATAGAAGAACAGATCCGAGTAGCAAGGGGAGAAAAACTTCGCTACAAACAGGTAATGAACAAGCATATAGTCTTATGATGTGAATTTAAGTCAATCAGTGAATTTCCTATTATCTGTTATTTGCTTCTGTCTTCAGGAAGATATTGTGCTAAGAGGACATTCAATTGAATGCCGAATTAATGCAGAAGACGCTTTTAAAAATTTCAGACCTGGGCCAGGTATGTCTGGAACTCTGAATTATGCGTTTTCCCTTTTGTATCAGCTTTTTTATACATGGCTCCTTTTGTTTTCATATACTTCATGATATCTTGTGTCAGGCATTACTGTAGACAAGGAACTATTGGCTCATGGGTTAGTCTTAATTTTTTTTCCAGGGAGAATAACTGCATATTTGCCAGCTGGAGGTCCATTTGTGCGCATGGATAGCCATGTTTATACTGATTATGTGGTACCACCAAGCTATGATTCTCTACTTGGAAAGGTGTGCCGTTCCGTCACTTATGCACTAGTATTTCTTTTTGTCAGTTCTCTTTGGTTGGACCCTGCTGTGGATATATTTCCATCTATGCATAACTTTTTCTACTTTTCTCCTGATATTTTATTACACAGGTTTGATTATATATTAGTATCAATGTGACAGTAATATGATGAAAAACTTATTTGGTATATAATTGGGGAGGTGGTGCATGTTTTATTCATGCAGGGGAAATGACTTGTTTCTATCATTTTAAGAAAATATTGCATTCTTGTGACCATTTTTCAAATTTAAAGACATAAGATTATAAATTAGTATGCCTTCAATGAACTACTCAATAATTCAATACTAACATTAAATAATAACCGTCCTCTCAACTACTCCAAAAGCCTAATACCCAAGCACACACATAGCAACTAGCAAGTACTTTCTATGTTTGAAGGTCACTCTTTGTGGTGTCTGCACAGATTTTTTCATGGTACAACCGTCTTTATTCTTTGTTAAGCTTAAAATGGGATTAAGTAAAACTGAATCTTCTTATTCCAGCTCATTGTATGGGCTCCAACACGTGAGAGGGCTATTCAACGCATGAAAAGAGCACTTAATGACACTATCATAACAGGTAAGACTTACAGTATATGATGTTTTAATACATCTTTTCAAACCAACAATAACATCCAAGCCTTAGTCCCAAAAGAGTTTGCTTTAATGCATCTTTTCAAATCAAGAAAATTCACCTCTGTAGGAGTTTACTAACATTTTGGGTGAGCAGGGTATGGGAACAAGATTGTGAATGTCAATAGTATACACGAGCTTAATTGTTAAATAGAATTAAATGGGTATTTTTAGTTCATTCCTACCTCAGCCTCACTAATTTAGATGATTCGTGGCTATTAATCTATTAATTTGATCTCTTCTTTTTTCACCATATGAACTTATTAACCTTTAGAACCACTACTCTGGTTGCACAGAAATACCAGAAATCTTGGATTTTTTAGACCTTAGAAGTTGGAAATCTTGCCATAAAGATCCAGACAGATAAAAACTGAATTGTATATATAATAATAAGATAGACTCTGCATTGCTCCAATAAATATAGATTGAATGTAGAATGTGTTTATTGATGCAGGTGTTCCAACAACAATTGATTATCACAAACTTATCCTTGATGTTGAGGTTGGCTAATTAGTTCTGCTAACATATAAATATGCTCAATTATTTCCCAAGTGCCACTCACAAAGTGCATGTATGTGGTGGTTAAGCGATTTAAAATCAGTTGGGCTCATGGATTCCAATTATTTTAAATGCTTTATCAGGATTTCAAAAATGGGAAAGTTGATACAGCCTTTATTCCAAAGCATGAAGATGAATTAGCCAGTGTAAGATTAGATAGTTTTTATCTACAATTACTCTATTTATATTCTGGATGTGATTATCAATATAAGGTTAGTTGTGAATTACCTAGGAATTTTTTTGTCACAATATGTTTGGAATATATGCTGCCTCATCCAGTATTAATCAGTATATCTGAGCTTTCTGGAAGCTTTATATGTATATAGAATTTGGTTCAAAGAAAAAGGCATATTCCCATGCAAAAAGCAAACAAACAAGGACCTTTGGATTTAAGATCTAAAAGATAGAGATGCTGTGGCATTTTAGGAAATAAATAAAAAAACTGTCTCATTATAATATGCATAAGTTTGAACGTGAAGATGCATTACGGAAGGGAAAAGTGCACCAGTACATTTTCGTCACCACATTATATGCAGTAGTTTAAAGTAATGATGCAATACAGACGGAGTAAAGGTATTTGTTTGCATTTTGCACAGGAAGCAATCTTTTTATTCTAACTTTACCATACACACACATGTAAAGACACCACTCACATATTTAATGGTTTGCGTTGTTCATTGGATGCCCCCCTTCTATCTTGTACATGCTCAAGCAGTAATTAAGCGTTTAGTTCTGATAAATTGTGTTAATCTGGGCAGACTGAGATTATGTACTCTGAGACTCAAATAATATTTGTGTGCGTACAATACGTGATGTTAATGCATCCTTTTCTAGTTTTTATGCTGATTCTAACATTATGGTTTTCAGCCACCGTCCCAGATACAGCCAAAGGCAAAGCCAAACCCAAAACTAAAAGTACTTGCTCCCATTGAAAAAGAGATGGTGAAGGCTAATGCTTGAAACTTTTTTCTCCTTGTATTGAATTAGAGTATAATGATTTTCCATTCCTCAGACATTGCAGCTTATTATTAATTATAATGAGATCAGAACAACGGGATCGCGTTTTCCAAAATGGGGGTCTTTTGATATCCTTCTGTGTGGATATGCATGTCTTTTTTAAGCGGGTGAGAAGGTATTAAATTTCTTGTGAAAATCACGAGTCTTTACAGTGGCAGGGTAGGGTACCCCTTTGGCCCTCTCCAAATTTTGACTAGAATAAGTCCGTCAAATTGTCACAACTACCAGCTCAAATTGGCACCCATATATGTATGAGGATCACTAATGTATGACTCACGTGATGGTGACGCTGTACTAAAAGATATTTCTTCCGTCTCATAATGTAAAAACATACACGTCAGTTTGGTGTAGTCATGGACTCAGCCCGTTCGGGCCTGGGCCTAGGCTCGGTTGGGCCCTTGGTTTGTAAATGATGGGCCCAGCCCTGGCCTTAGGTAAGGACAGTTCGGGCCGGGCCACCCGCCCGGGTCACGGGTCAAGCCACCCGCCGGGCTACGTCGGGCCGCGTAAATCCATTTTTTTGTACTTATTTATTCTTTATAGTTTTATAGTTTTATTCAAGTGCATTTATTTGAAATGAAATAGGAACTACATTTGACAACAACATCCAAGCCTTAGTCCCAAAAGATATTGGATCGGCTAACATGAATCGATACATGATATCACAACCAAAAGAAAAAGAAGGAATAAAGATAAAAAGATAAGCTATTATGAAAAGATAATATAAAAAAAGATGAGTATATATAAAAATGATAAAATAAAAAGGCTGCAAATAATGCTTATATATATAAGGATAAAAAAACTAGGGAAAAAAAAGATGAGGGAACAAGATTATCAAGATCACTCCTTCACGTGAATATCTGCCCTTCATTAGACAATTGAGAAAAAAATACAATATGAAATACATTTTGTAATCAATCGGAATTTTCCGATGAAACCCCCAAACTACATTTTTTCCTGCACCATTTGCGAGTTGCGTACCACATCCTGGTCTTCGGGTCTTGCGTATAAAAATTATACACGATAACGGAATATTGACTTTCCATCTTAAAAATGGTAGATATAATAATTCTATAAATACTAGAAAGTCTAGAATAGATAGAGATGAAGATGGAGAATAGAGATTGAAGATTGGATATTGGAGAAAATGTTTATAAAAATGTTAGAAATAGGAGTATTTATAGAAAATTTTGTACCCCCATCCCCATAGGAATGGACTCGGGCCGGGCCAACCGGCCCGCTACTGTGCGGGCCCGGACCAGCCTGGTGAACCGGTTGGTTACCCGGTTCGGGCCACCCGGCCCGGTGGATGGGCGGTTCGGGCTCGAGCCCTTCAAAAGGTGAACCGGCCTAGCCGGTTCAGGCCCGGGCCGGGCCAATTTATTATTTTTTTTTGAATTTTTTTTAAGTTTTTGGGTTGGGCTAGGTATTTTGGGCCATTTGAGGTGGTTAGGGTTGGTTTGGAGGTGAGGGGGAGGGTTGGGGTTAACTAGGAAAAGCCAAAAAAAAAAAAAAATAGAACCGAGGCCCGACCTGGACCCGGGGGTTACCCGGCCCGGTTTCGGGCCTCCCCTTCATGAACCGAGGCCCAACGGTTATATAGCTGTTTGGGCCTTTCAGGTTTGAGCCTTTGATTTCAATTTTTTATTTGTTTATTTTAGTTTGAAATTTTTGAATAAATTACATAATGTAAAATAAATTAATTTGAGAAGTGCTACATATAAAAAATGAACGTATATTTATTAGAAATATGAACTACAAGTTTACAACTTACAATTGAGAATTGAAGGAAAAATTAAAACATGAAATACTAATCAATCGGAATCTTCGGCATAGGTAGAGCCACCCTCGGTTGATTCATCCATAAAGTTTTGGGATGTGGTGATGCCAATTTCTTGAGCTCTACGGGCCGCCTTCAACCAATCATGGTAGCATATAAGCGTCTCAAGAGATTTTGCGCTCAACCTTGTTCTAGATTGCGTTAGGACATTGCCGACCGAACTAAATTCTTGTTCAACGACAACCGTTGAAACCGGCATTGATAGCACTTGCTTAGCCATCTTTGCTAAAACCGGGAACATTATATTCTTTCTTTTCCCTTCCACCAGTTTAGAACGTCAAAATCATCATCTTCTTCAAAATCAACATCATATGTAAAATACAAAGAAATCTCATTAATTGTGCTTTGTTGAGTAGCGGGAGTTGTTTTAGTTTTTTTAATAAGATTGGCAAATGTAGATTTCAAAATTGATTTTCCTTTAGATGAAGACGTTTGTGTCGGGGGAGGGGGCGCGTTGCCATATTGTGCATGAAACTCATTAAATAATGCATAAAATATATCACTAACCTCACTGTATTCTTTTTTCGGATCAATTGCGTTATCGTCATCCATTGGAAGAGGACAAAAAAAAGCGGCATAATAATAGTTCAAACATTCTTCTAAAGAACCAAGTCTAAAACGAGGATCGAGAACAAATGCAATACCATAAATATGCGGGATATGTGCACAATATTTTAAAAACTTTTCCTTCATAAATGCAGCAAAATAACTCACATAAGTGACATTCTCAAATTCCGCAAAAGCACCGGTGTCCGGGTCCTTCCACTTATCAAAATTATTAAGCATTAGTTCAGATTTATTTTTTTCGTACCGGTTTGGGATGAGGCAGACTCGTCGTCGTCGTGGCTGCTGCCACCCTCCTCCGCGTCGGCATCGTGGCTCTCCGGAATTACTTCCTCCACATCGTCGTCCTCGAGCTCTTCTTCATCAAAGGTCCTCGGTTGATATTGGAAAAACCGACTATTATGTCGGTGCAATTCTTGTTCTAGTTGTTCGTCGGTCATCGCATCCCCATCCCTCCTTGCGTAACCTGTATCAAAATCATCTCGACTTTGAGATGAAGAGTCGATATGTGATTTACCATTGCTGGATCTCTTCCTCGCAAGCTCGTTCGTTCGGTTGCGGTCAAGGTTATCCATATCAACCGAATATCTACCACCTTCTATCATAAAAATGTAACAAATATTAATTTATAAAAACAATTCGAACTAATGAAATAAAATTCTACATCCGGTCCCGGACCGCCAGACCGGGCCGATTCCGGGTCATGGGCCGGGTGGCCCGAACCTGAGTCCACCACTAGTTTGGTGTATGTTTTTAGAAAAATAAAGAATATAGTGACCGTTTTATTATTTTAATCTCAAAAAGTAAGCAAAAGTAAAATGATTTCATAAAAAAATAAATAGTGAAATTATAGATAAAAGTATAAGGTGCAAAAGTAAAAAGTTATTGGAGTCTAATTTAAAAAAATGATATTATTTTTAGGACAATTCAAAAAGAAAAAATAGTTTACAAAATCTGACAGGGGGAGTATTATTCCAACTTAATTTTCCGACCTATTAGTCCCCAACAAGACAAATCACTAGAAGTTCATTACCTCGTTCAACACTTTCATATACGGATGGACTCGGGCCAGATCAACCGGCCCGTATCCGGCCCGGCCCGGTACCCGGGTTTTTGCATGGTTCGGGCCACCCGGCCCGGTACCCGGATTTGTGCACGGTTCAGGCCACATGGTCCGGCCAGGTTCGGGCATTTTTTTCAAAATTTGAAAAATGTAAATGGGTTGGGTTGAGTGTTTTGGACGGGTTTGGGGTGTGGGGGTGGGGTAGGGGTAGGAAGCAATTAGACAATAAAAAATTTAGGTAACCAGGCCGAACCAGCCTGACCGGTCCGGCCCGAATCGGTCAGGGCCGGACCCGGACCCGGTAGCTACACGGGCTGATTCCGGGCCTCAAGAATCCCAAAAAAAGCCCGGTCAGACCCGGCCCGGGTCCAAGTCTACTTTCATACAGTGGCGGATTTGGAATTTGAGTTTTGGATGTTCAATGCTTTTTCACAACTACAAATTTAAATAGTAATAAATAATTATATCTAATTTACACATATATACGTACATGGTTTTGAAAAGTTGGATGTCCATGTGAACTCTTTTGAACATGAGTGGCTTCGTCATTGCTTTCATACTTTCATGTTTACATGCTTACGGCAATATTCCCTCTCCATATTATTGTCCAACTTTCTTTTTCAAGTTTATTCCTAAAAATTGCTACATTACTTCTTCAAAATGTGTACGGTACAAGTTAGCAAAATCAAACCTCTAAAAACCACTTTCTTCAACCCGTATAGGAACTCTTTTAAGCAACATGAAATTAATTTGGAACAAATGAAGTATACAAAACCCTCAACAAGACCGGTATTTTCTAAGTAGAATTTGTATTACACTCTACATTTCAAATTGAATGTACCACTTTATTTTCACATTACTTCAAATTAAACGTTATCTTTCTAGATTCCGTCACCTTTTCGCCCCATCAATAAATACTTCTACATCCAATTTATTCTCTCACCTACCCACCCCATTCGTACTCTAACCTCCTACATTCCAATTACCCCATTATTTCACCTCTCTACTAGAATTCATGTGACTTCCCCACCCATTACTCTGGAAGCTTCCCTCATTTCTCTAACACCTTTTATCGTTTTTTTCACAGAACACTCATCCTATCTTACATAACACCCTTCTTCTTCGACCTAGATCCGTTGACTGCCGCCTAATCCCATGCTCGCCCCTATTCCTCTGATCGTTGATCCTTCTATAATTTCTTTAAATTATTCCACACGAATCTGAATTAGAATTGCTATTGATTGAAGAGGGAGATGTTGAACGTTATCCTTCACCTCCTTTAGATCTAAGGATCCCTTTGATTTGCATAAGGATGATATTTGAAAAAGGTTGCTACAATGCCAAATTTTTAATCCACATTTCCATTTTACTTTATCTATAATACCACCTTAAATTACTTGAAATGCCTATTGTACCAATTAAATTAAAACAGGACAGAAACTCATTTATAGAGAAAAGGTCCAATGGTTGAAAAAAAGGAAAACCCCTTTAAACAAAATTTGGGCTCTAAGAATCCCTAAAATTGTGTTTGGTGCTAGGAGGGTGGCCAATAGAAGAGCGAGTCATTAGCGGGGCTAAAGATCAAAGAAGTAGCATCAAGGGGCTAGATCATATTTAAGATGATAATAATAATAGATATTTGTATATATAAGCTTTTCATTGGGGGGGCTAAGGCAAGCCCCCTGCCACCCTCTCTGGCTTAACCATTGATGAATGCTCATTAAATTCCTAAATTTGGCTCCTAAATATTGTATAACATACTCTTATATTAAGAATGCAAATAAAAATGTTTTGTTATCTTACTTGAATAACTTAATACATGAACATTTATTTTAGTCGTGATTAACTTTAGCTCTGTTAAATTCATTAA